TTGCACGCAGAACTAAGAAATCCAGCCTTAAAATTGCTAATATTTCAATGCAGAAACTTGCAAATGTTCCCCTATCTACGTCATCACATGACCACGCCCACCACCGGAAGTGATTTGAAAAGATAGCTGCAAGGCAACTTTTGACCCAGGAGTTAGTACAGAAACAGTACTTTTTAATAATTTTAGCTATTTTTCCCGTGATTCTCTCTTCATTACCAACTTATTCCAGGCAAAAAAGTTTTGGGGTGCAGTTACACTTTAAAAAACTAAATCTGTAGCAGTGTCTGATATTTATATTTTTTGCAAACATATGATCTTTTCACTGCATACCTCAGAATATCCATAATTACTAAACTGCCAAACTGAAGTAAGTATACATGTAGGGAGAGCTGAAGCAGGATGTTCGTTTAAAAATATTCAATTGATACAATCCTTATCAATAACTAAAGTAACACACAACAGCAATTTTATATTGTATTTCTAGCCCTTAAATTATCACGAGGTCTAGCGATTTTTAGTTTTAATTTTTGACAACAGCGTTTCATTTTTGCGACACTCCTAGAAAAGAAAGAAAAGAAATAAGGAGACACATAGAGAGGTAGAATAAAAAAAGAGTAACTATATCCTTCTCTTCAGTTTTCTCTTACTTCTTGAAAGTCTTTAACAGTTTTGTAATACTTCCTCTGCTTGTCAATGAGATCAAGATGGATGGTTGTAAGCCGATCTTTCTCTTTCCTCTCCTCGACACATCTCTGACCCAACTGCTCCTTGTCTTGCTTGATACCATCCAATATCTGCTGGACTTGCTGTAAGAACAACTCCTTATTCTTATCAGAACTCATTGCTCTTGAGGAAAGAGAAGAGAAAGGTAACTGACAACAGTTAAGAATGAAATAAAAGAATAATAATGATAAGAAGAGAGGAATGAGAGAGAAATTGAGATTATAAAATAAAAGAGAAATTGAACGATTAACAGTTAAAAATGATTGTGAATGATCTTACAAATCAAATTTCTCATGAATTGAAGTCAATATTCCAACCTAATGAAAAATCAAAACATACATAATTGCAATAAAAGTGATGTTATAATAATTGTTACTTCTTTCTCCATGTAAGCTTTCTGATCCTCCAGTGTATTGTAAAGTGTAAAGTATTGTTTAGTCTCAGTTAACATGGAGGACACTGTGAGAAGAGAACAAAAAGGAGAGAAGAATAATCAGTAATATGAATGTGGTCAAATGCTACATGGGCCTTGGTTTAAAAAAATTGCTTAAAATGCTCATAAGTCAAAAATTATTTGTCTGAATCAGCTCAAACTTTTTACACAGCATAAGGACATCAATATGTATCAGAAAATGTAATAAAAATTTGGGGTGATTTTGGAGCCATTTTTTAGAAAAAACCATGGGCTATATAGCCTTGGGTATTTTTCAAAATTTTGGCATTTTCTTAAAATGGCCATAACTTGAAAAATTGAAGTCGGAATCAGCTCAAACTTTCTACACAGCATAAAAACATCAATATGTATTAGAAAATGTAATAAAAATTTGGGATGATTTCGGAGCCATTTTTTAGAAAAAACTATGGGCTACAGCCTTGGGTTTTTTAAAAAATTTTGGCATTTTCTTAAAATTGCTGTAACTTGAAAAATTGAAGTTGGAATCAACTCAAACTTTCTACATAGCATAAGGACATCAATATGTATTAGAAAATGTAATAAAAAATTGGGGTGATTTTGGAGCCATTTTTTAGAAAAAACCATGGGCTATATAGCCTTGGGTATTTTTCAAAATTTTGGCATTTTCTTAAAATGGCCGTAACTTGAAAAATTGAAGTCGGAATCAGCTCAAACTTTTTACACAGCATAAGGACATCAATATGTATTAGAAAACGTAATAAAAATTTGGGATGATTTCGGAGCCATTTTTTAGAAAAAACTATGGGCTACAGCCTTGGGTTTTTTAAAAAATTTTGGCATTTTCTTAAAATGGCCGTAACTTGAAAAATTGAAGTCGGAATCAGCTCAAACTTTTTACACAGCATAAGGACATCAATATGTATTAGAAAATGTAATAAAAATTTGGGGTGATTTCGGAGCCATTTTTTTGGAAAAACCATAAGCTATTAAGATAAGGTCCTCTAAGAAAGAAGCCTTCTTAGAGCCTGATTTGGCTCTAAGAAGCCAAACCAGCA